TGTCGCTTTATTCACATTATAAAGGTGTAATTTATTTAGTTAATGGTTTCTTTTATTACTAAGAGATGTTTAAGTTAGGAAAAATTGAGGCCCAGGTCTGTGTTGTACAGCATGATACCCCAATACAAGCTATCAAATCAAGCAAAAAGAACAACAATCGCATTTATTTCAGAGCAACAACACTCGGCTACTATCTTATTTTGATTATTCATGTACAGTTTTATACTAATCCAGTACCTGTTCTTCGTTCCATAACACCCTGCTTCTTTATTGTCGTCTGTTGTGATTGTTTGATTTGGCATATATTAGCTTCCTTTTGGTGCTCTGTCAAGTTGATTCACTTTGCGAGCTAAATACCATTGACTATATGCGTAAATAGGTGCACTCTAATAGCAGTCTTCAACGTCAACACGTATTATGCATCTGTTTTGGGCTATTTTAGCGCAGTGTTTGACGCCATGAATTCTAAAGAAAAACGCTCTAAATGACAGATATTCATGTACATCAGATTGAACAGCGTTCGAAATTTTTGTTTCTGTCACAACACTAAGTATTATCTGCTCTTACAATCAAGCGCGAAAAGAAAATTCATTTACGTTTTCCCATATGAATGCATTACCGGAAGTCAAATTTAGACTGGTTGCTGTCTGGTTCAAAATGCAACAGCATAGTAGCGCCGCCTGGACCTCTAGCGTTTTTTGTTAATAACTCTATGGAGCAGACGGCCCACTTGGTTGTCTGCTCGAACCTGGGTTGAAGAATGGGTTCATCTCAAACCATGGGGAACTTTCGGAATTTAATGGCGGACGCCTCCTGCCAACGTACTTCCTGCGGAAATTCGTCGCAAGAGCAGATGCGCTGCGCTTTGGCGTGGCGAGGAGACAGTTAGGCAGAAAGTCGATGACGTTTGAATACAATCAAAGCTTTTGGCACCTCCTCGCAGGTTATATTGCAAATGCGGCCCATAAACCACGTGACGCCGATCGGGCAGTTGGAAACTCTAATGCAGGCTCTCTGGCGTTGGTAACTCGGTCATCTGCGAACGGGCCAAACGTAAACTTCGGTAAGTTTTTGCCCTAATATTTCACAGGAAAACACCTAACCTATGTCTTAAGATTTCACACGCTAAGTCAAAACACACCAGGTTTTGAAAAAAAAACAAAAAAAAAACAACAAAAAAGACGTAACCCTACCTATAATATAAAGGCCCCCCCCCCCCCCCCCCCCTGTTTCCCAGATGTATATCCCGGCCATCTCAGCGTCCCTTTCGAATAATATTTCTCGCCACAGAGCTGTAAGACACTAAGAACCGAACGCGCCACGAAATTCAATTTGCTTAAGCGATTTCAACCACAAAACTAAAAAAATAAGTTCTAGCGTTTTCTTATAGTACTTCACGTTGCCTGACGTTCACATGACCAGGTACGGCTAAAGTCCCTTCATGTTTCAAAAGTAACACAATGTTCGTCAATGCACGAGGCACGTGCAACGTGCAGCCCTTGGGAAGATCATGGCGGCACACCACAGCCCTAGAGTGTACTAGAAGGAACGAGTGGGGCGACCGGAGTGCTATTTAGGTACCTCCGCATGAGGAAAAAACCGGCTGATCCAAGCCACTTCGCTCGTAGCGCTCTCTCGGCCACTAAAAGCGAAGCAGTTCGGATTAGCCGGTTTTTATGAAAAACGCGTTGCGTTCCAACGCCAAGATAGTTCCACAAGCGGCGGCGCCGAAAAAAACGCTTTGGTCGTTTCACTCAGTCCCTTCTAGTACCCTCTACGAAGGTGGCGCTACGATCGATGTGGCTTGGGTTCACCTGATCGCTTTCCACATTTTGAGGTGCAACTGAAAGCATGAGCGGAGCCTGAAGCTCGACCCACTCGCTCCTTCTAGTACACTCTAACAGCACTGAGCTAGATTTCAGACGCCAAGAATTTCCCAGAATCGTGCTTCGAGCATTTCTACAACAATGAATGGCGTCACTTTTCCCAGGGTAGAGGGGCTTTAGGTACGGCCACTATGGCATTCGGTGCTGGAGTGCCACTAGTTGTTAATAGAGTCACTGGATCCCGGGAAAACAGCGCCAAGCTCCCCGTATGATCGACATTTTGATTCATAGATTGAACAGTTTCTTCTTTACTTCCCCATTCTTTGTGAGTCGGTCTGAAGTCGCGGTGACAGGTTGCTTTATGAAGACATGTCTTGTACACAAAGATTCGATTATCCAGACAACGGCGAAACAACATTTTCGCACCGTCACAATGTGGGGCATCGGTGCTTGGTGGCATTGGAAAAATAATTTTGTCTTGAAATACGCATGAAGAGCAATACAATTATAAGGGATACGTGGATGTAACCGTGATATATAAGTGCATTGAATACACAGCGCCAAAAACGCTTGTATTGGCAAGTAACGTTTTCGGGACGATGACGCTCCACGGCGATCTTGTCGCGACTAGGGGGCCTTGATATGCGCTTTGCTTAGGGTGATGACATTGTAGGACCTGATGCCCTCAGCACGCGCTCTATAGAAAGATACAAAAAAATGGCCGTACAAAAATACCGTCGTAGCACTCTCAATGGCAAGAGCTGGTGCAGGGAGGCGCGCTTGCTCGCACTCAGGAACAAAAGAGAAACGAAAGCGTCGAGAACAGGATGGTCAGATGGCACCACCCTAAGCAAAGAACACATGAAGGCGACCTAGTCGAAACTGGTTAACATCGACCCCTTCAAAGCTTAAATGATTGGAAAGGACCTAAATGGCAATTGCCATGGAAACAACGACTGATCAGAAAATCGCTGGTTAGGTTTCTGTCGTCTGTATGTTAGTACCAGTCTGTGCCCTCCTAGCAGGCAGACAACGTAATGACGCAACTTTCCCAGGGGACAGTGACTGTAGTTGTTAAGACAGAAACCGCAAAACGGTAATCGATTGCAACTTAAACCTGATTACACGTTTATATTTTTAAATTCAAACGTGTTCCTGTAAATTACGATTCAACAGCTGCCAAGGATCGATAGACTAAAGTTTTAAAAAAATCGAGGATGCTTATTTCTTTATTGATATACAAGAGTGCGCCATTATTTCAATATTTAAAACGCATGCGGGCGCCACGAAAAAATGGCATACAGCATAAGAACGCTACACGCTTTGTTAAATGTGGCCAAACCATAAAATACACTGCACAAGACGTTTAATCTCAAACATTTGGTTCTAATGTGTTCTAAAATGATCCAAAATTGCCTCGTCATACAAAAGTTGCCCAAAAAGCCAAATTTTCATTATATTTATACTTGAACATAAGCCCCCCCCCCTCCAAAAAAAAAAAACAAAAACAAAAAAAGCTTTATTCTAGAATGTTTGCTTACAAAGCCAAATTCCCATTTTATTTATCCTTGAGTATAAGCTCAAATAAAATAAATTTGTTCTTCTAGGAGAGTTGCTAAAAAAAAATTCTCATTAAACTTACCTTTAAATTTAAGATCCAATAAAATTAAAATATTTTATTCTACTTGACACATTTTTGTGCATTACAGGTTAAAATGATGACTGTGTTGAAACTAGAATACTTTATTTCCGTTACCCGGAATTTGTGTCAACTCGCGTTTGGGAAAGACGTGGTTTCAGCCTCCACTCAGACACGAATTTTTCTCTAATGAACAAGAGAGTATCTCGTAAATGTAAGATGCAATCCCTTGTTTCGACATATTTTTCTTTTTCGTATAGAAAATAACAAAACACAAAAATATAGAGACATGACAACCCCCTGACTGTCCTTATCTGAAGACACTCTGGTACGAATAATCGTAAACGCTACTTTTACAATATGAAGCGGCGATCTCTGGGAGAGTGTAACATTTTGTTACGGTTAAGCACATTGTCTCGTAGACATTTGTTGTAAAAAGTGGACTTTTTTTTGAGAATCATTTCTAGAAAAGAGCAATTTCGGGAAAACCTTGAAAACATAATTTTAATGTCAACATCACTCGGGAAAGTATGAGGTAACCCTCACAAAGAAAGAGCTGCTGTCGCTAATTTGTCTAGCGATGTACGCGTTATCACATAGAAGAGTGCCATATTGAATACACTTTGTAGTCTATGCCTGTCTAAACGTTCATCTTGTACGTCGTGCGGACAATCCAGAGTTGGGAATTATACTGCCGTTTTTTTCTTATCGCTTCTTACGACGAGGCACACGAATTTTAAATGGCAGAGCGTGTCAATTAAGTTATATGTATTATGCAAGCTTCTTCGTGACGCTATAAAGTGCGAATATGTCAAGGTGTAATATGTATACAAATTCGTTTACCTGCGGACTAGGCAGAAATTGCGGACCACGCATCGTGTGTCTACTACGCGCCAGCCTCCAGGTGTGAACTATCCAAGGAAGTACTTCTTATCACGCAAACATTTCCCCCTTGGATTTCACACAAAACCAGCACCCAGTGTATAATCCTGCTTTTTGGACTCTAATTCCGGAAAATAGGGTGTACAGTTTTACTTATTCTTAAAACCTAACCATATTGCACTTATACCGTGCAAGCTCTATACTTGGTTTCACGCTAGGTTTAACCTGGACCAACGATATATGACCCGAGGGAGCTAATCAAGTACTGCAGAGACCCCCTGTAACGAAATAGCTGCTACAGCGAAGCGATCACGATTTCCAATTACCTTTTGCACTTCGTTACAACCGAAGTCAGTTATAACGAAATAGCGGCAATCGCAAAGTGATCTCCGATTCCCGTTGACTTCGTTATAACCGGTCCCGACGGTTGCGCCAAAAGTGTATCGCCATGGTGGTCGTCGCCTTTCTGCGTTTGCTATGACCGGCGAAACAAATCAGCCCATGGTCCTTCTTTCCTCGCGTCATCGGTCCAGCTCCATCACATTGGTGATGGAGCTGGTCACATTGGCAGCGGACAGATTATAGCCACCTATCTAGAAGATCAAAAAGGACTGGTCTATCCTTTAGTTACGGTATTCGGCACACTTGTTTACCTCGCGCATGGCCAGCTGCGCAGCTCTGAGGGCAGGTTCGTCGTTCTTGAGGAATAATTTTTGGTTGGCGTGCAGGAGGCCCGGAACCTCGCCCTTGCAGGACTCGTGGAACTCGCAGTTGTCTCGGCGGAAATTCCACGTGCACGGCATCAGGAAGAGCTTGTCCGGGTTTTCGTTGAAGATGACGTTCACAATATCCTGGTCAGCCCACTTAAGGCGCGAACCGTACTGCTCCAGAAGCGGTTCCATCCTCGATCCCCAGGCGAAGTTTCGCATCCTCGTCAAATTCATCGGCATCACTCCAGCGTTTACGCCTGCAATTCATTGTTCGAAGGATGAAAAATCACGCCACGCTTAACGAAACAACCACAAATTATTAAAAAAAAAATAAAGCGTGCCTTTAATTTACTGTTTAAATGTCCGGTATGAAAAATGCATTAGCAATATACAGTGTGTTTCACGGACGACTGATAATGCTTAAAAAAAAATATAAATTTCAAAATGAAGGTATGGTCCCTTCGCCATGACATTTCGACCGCGGTGGACGTCATACGGAGAGTGGAACATGAGAATTATCAAATTATGAGCCTAAAGGATACTAGTTAAGTTCTTAAAATATTTGGCCGAGCTGGCGCACTCTAAAAATCTCTTGGACGTCGCCAAAGTATCCCATAAATGTTAGAATTCAGGATACTAAGATCTGCCTCGCGTTTGTCTCTCGGAAAGCTAGGCTGTCTAGAGTGAACCACACTAAAGCTCCGACAAAGAAAGCTGTTCGGCCGAGGAGACAACCGAGTGTGGCGCGTCTTTTCTACGATTACGTGGGCTGACGCTGCTAGTTCCACCCGCGATGACACGTTACCCGCGTTTGCTTTGGTGAGTGACGTCGCTTCCGGGACAAAATTCCGCGGGTATTCTGGGCACAGGTTTAGAATGTGAGTCCCCTCAAGGCATATATTTGCTAGAAAATTGAGTGGAGTAGAATATATGTGTGTGAATTCTAATGACTACACTTCGTTGTCAAGACACGGCCGATGCTACGAGGTAATGGGATTGGGGAGACCACAAGTAAGGTTTCACACATAAATATATTGGCAAGTATTTACAAGCGCAAGGAGACTGTAGTTCGCATCGCCCGATGCTGCAGCCGAGCCGTTCCGTTGGTGTCTCGTGAAATCTCTGCCGCGCGTGTCCCGAGCTCAGCGGTCGCACTTGCCGACGTCTTCGTCGTCTCTGTGGCACAACTGCCACAGGATCAATGAAGCAGCGTCAAAAGCGGGAGTCACTGGGCAGTTTCTGTATATGACTGGTTCAGCGATTGTAGATAGACATGACGAACACCATGACGCCTCACTTTTGGGGCTTTTTGATTGGTCCCACCAGCACGTAGCGTCGGCTGCGTCTCTACTAAGGATGAAACAAAGTATGGGACAGGTTTCGACGAGGACGGCCAGAAAGTATGGAACGGTCTTGTCTCCAACCTTCCCTGCCACAAGCTGCGGTGCGTCTTAAGCTTTCGTGCCCGAGGCCAGCCCCGAACCTATAGGACTGTCGTTTCCGAAGACTTTGAGGCTACCGTCGCCTTGCAGTGCTTGGGTCGTACTTGGTGCCCGGAAAACGCGCCTCCGACTGGTACGTTTACCACATGTTCCTAGATTTCCTCATGATGACGTCATATAAATGTTGTCGTAGGCCGCGATTCTGACGGTGACAGTGGTGGTAAATATGAACAATAATTGTTCCGCTGCAGGCCCCTTTACAGCTGGACAGTATGCGGAAGCTCTGGCAGCCAGGAGTTGGGACGACGCAACCGCTACACTCGCGTTCGCAAGTGCTTCGGTATTTTAAATGCCTCTCCGACTGGTATGTTCACCGCGTCCAAAACAGCGGTCCGTCGATTTCCGCATGGGGACGTCATACGTGTGTCATGCTGTCGCAGGTCGCGATTTTGGTGGTGTCACAGCACCGGTGGTGGTTGTGGCAGACGCGTGTTCACTTTCGATTCGCTCTCCAGCTTGACAGTCCAAGGAACCTTCGGCAGACTGCAGGTGGGACGCCGCGCCCTATAGGAAATTTGTCTATGGGGCCCACCAGGATTTCTGAAATGTTTTCACGTACCCATCAAAAATGTTTGGCGTATTTGAGATGTCCGTCAATGTTTTCCAAGGGGCCTGACGTACCCTTTAAGAATTCCTAAAGGGCGTAAGAGACCCGCCATAGCTTTTTAAGAGACCCGTGGGTTCCGTCCCTATTTTTTCCGTGAAACCACAGCATCCATCAATATCGTTTTAACGTATTTGTGGGAGAGATTACGGTGACCCTTCGCGATATATGCGTCGGGGAAGCCGCTTGGCCAGTTTTCCGAGCGGCCGCGACGGGTTTTCAAAGTTGAGGAGAAGTTTCCCCGTCGCTTCCCGTCGTGCACTGACGCGCGCTCCGCCGCCCCCCCCCCCCCCCTCCCCTTTCTGAAGGGGATACGAGAGCGCACACGAAAAGCCGTCCTGGAAAGGGGGTCTCCTTTTCAATAGGGCCACAACAGCTACATTCCTGCTTGCTCCTGCTTTTTGCCGCAACTTCTACGTTCAACTACCAGGATTGCGACATTTGACAGCGCGGCTCTTCGGCTTTTGTGATGTCATTTGTTGCCACTTAGAAACCACTATCGATGCATGGGCGAAATAGGACGCTAAAAACACCACTCTGAGACGCGGTCCAGGTGCCGTACGCTTTGGCGGTATTTCTATACATTACCCACCTGAATCGCGGAACCTAACACGCCGGCTTTTATGATGTCATTTTGTTGCCTCGTCGGATAACGTTTGATGTATGTACAGAATTGGGCGCTATAGACCGTTTTCTTTGCGAACTCCACCAGGTGGTGTCCAGTTTCTGACATTGCAGCAAACTTCCGGTTCACAAACATAATGAACAAATCCCACGTTAAAACCACTTCTTAAAACGTTGATGAAACATTTAATCACCCATTCTCCAGGTGAAAGCCAAAATAACCAAGGAACGCGAGATTCGTTCGACTTTTTCGAATATCCTTGTAAACCAACTTGTCTCCTCCAAGAGGCTACAACGTACAACCGACGATGCTCGCTAAATCTTCAACTTTTGTTGTCTCTGTTGCTGTGACCTCCAACTTTGCTGTTGTCATGTGGTCAGATATGTATGGAAAAAAAGTGATGGTACCAGGACTGTCTTTTGGCAATCGGGTGCTGTGCATGAAATCAGAGATTCAATCAGGATTAGAAATTCGACAAATAAGCGTGGGCACATTGGCACTGGGAGCACATGGAAAGACATCAAACGAGGGAGTACAGGGGGACATGGGCTGGTCGTCTTTTGAGAGCAGGGAGGCAATCAGAAACTTGGAATTTCAACACAGGCTGCCCGAAATGGATCATGCGCGGTGGGCACGGAAGGTATTCAAGCATGTATATGTGAAATGTTTAAAAAAAATGGAGAAACGGAATCCGAAATCTTATATTTAAATACCTACACACTGGCGATGGGGCTGAGCAGACTACTTCAGTGGAAAGGAGAGTGAAAGAAATAAAGAGGAAAATGTGGGAAGTTAGAATGCAGGAAAAAGCTGCTCTAATAATGTACAGGTCACAAAAACACAATATAAAAAAAAGAAAATTTTGTTTGACAATTCACTGGGAAGTTATTCACGGTTTGAGGCGAGAACGGTGTATTCGAGAGTACGCATCGTCGCGTGACGCGATTCCAGCGTTACCGCCTTCGACCATTTGTCCTTCCCTCATTTAGAGCTCTCTCTACAAACACGCGCATGTTTCAATTCCAAATGGTATGCCATTTGTCAACAAAACTTTGTTCGTACACGACCACAGCTTGGACGTCACTTTGTGACTCATCTCTCTAACGAAGCTTACCCTCTTCTTCGACGCCAGAGTTACGCATTTCGACATCCCTCTAATTAAAAAAATACTGTCCTAAAACGGATCATGAGAAATAAATATAAAAAAATGAGAATGTAAAAATGCATTCAAGCTGGTGAAGTAACTCCAAAATAACAAAACCCAGACTAAGAGCAGGTAACAAAAAACAAAAAAAAAAAAACGAAAAAAAAAAAACACGCAGAGACATTTTCTTTTTTTTTTTTGGGGGGGGAGGGGAGGAGGTTGTTGTTTTTGTGTTTTTACTATAGGATCCGAAATGAGAATGATAATCTTTTTTCTATTAAAGACGGATACATATTGTTGCTGAAGGGAATAGATGCTCTCCTCAACAAGTAGGAAGGGATCACACATTTGAACAATAGAGCTTGTAGGAATGTCGCTCAGCAAGGTAAGCTTTTTGACCAGCACCCTCCCTGTTTTGTGGCGGTTTTGGTAAACATCACTGCAGTTCCCGGTGACTGACAAAATTAAACTCCATATAATCGGTAGTTTTTATGCGTCTTTTATTTGTTGACGAAATGAATCCCTGGAGAAGGGGAACAAGAGGGACAAAGGACAAACATAAATCTCCAAACACAGCTAGGTGACTGGTGAGCGACCGAACAGGGATTCATTTCGTCATTCATGTCCAGCTCGCTTGCACCTTTGCACTTAATTGCATTATCATCATATTTGTTATTTTTGTGTTTTTCGGTATAAAAGAAAAATACATTTGGCGGGACATTTTCTGCAAGGTTCGGTAAATACCCAATGGTTGGTTTTCCCTTCACTTTGCGTGCTGTAGGAATAGTGACAGCACTAAGTTCTTCATTCTACAATAGAACAGCACCGCTGTACAGCCTTTGTCAGTTAGTTCTAGAAAATGTCTTTTGGGAGCTGACGTCGTGCGGCGAAGCCCGTATAACGAAGGTAAGCTAGGTTAATTGGAGTGGAGGTTTGTTGTCGATCGTCTCTTTTGAAGGTCATATGTTACGCAACGTTTTGGTATCACAAATTCGTTCAAGACACTGCAAACAATTAAGGAGAGCTGAAATAAAAAAATAAAGATATTTGTAAGTATTGATGGGCGAAAATATTTATATTTAGACAAACTAGCTGTGTCGGTTGACAAATAACCCAACCACAATAACGGTTAAGCCGTGCCTTTTTATATATTCGTAAAATGAATTTATATATGCTCATTTTGATGTAATTTATGCAATTTTATATATGTTACTTGTTTATAAATGGCCTGTGAATGCGTCACTAAAACGTGTTTACTTGACAATGTTTGTAATTTCTTTGGATATAATGCTTTTATTGTTACTTTTAACATTTTGTGGGAATTTTCTAAACCTTTCATAAAATAGGTAGGAAAAATTACTACTATGTGCGGGCTTCGGTGTGGAATTGACGGTGTGCAAAGTGCTTTAGTGAAACCTTGGCAATCTCCACACCTCGAGCTTCTAAATTGTATATTTCCGCAAGAAAATAAGCTACGGCTTGCACATATAGTTGAATGCTCTTCCCAAGAGCACGGCTTTAACATATTGTTCACATAAATATAAAAAATAAGTCCCGACCATCATTGTACGATCAGACCTGTACGATTTGGCGATTGAACAGCAATGTACGTGAAGTCAGATGTCCAAACGAAGTCGTGAAATGTTTCAATCACTTCAGGCTCCTTGAACATGTATATTGAATTTTTGCCGCGGCGATGAAACATACCTCCCATTTCGGCAACCCGATGGCACCAGTGGCATCGAAACACCTCAAACCTGTCAAACGATTTATAATCAAAGATAGGTGGTGGCGTTCCTGAGTTCTAACAGACAAACCCAGAGATCAATAAGGGTGGTGCCAATGGTCTATTGGGCAGGAGATCCAACCGTCGCGCCCCTAGTGGCTAAATTGAGAACTACACCAATGGGACAACAACAACATAGATTATTTGGTTGGGTTCTGAGGCAGTGCTTGGCCCCCTCGTGGCCGAGCTTTGCGTCAGTGTTAGGCTGGGGCTGGTGTTCAAACATAGCCTCCTTTATACTCACAAAGCCTGGCAGTTCGACGACGGAGTCATAGTGTGCCCGGTCGCATATTTGGACTGCGAGGATCTGGTATCGCAGAGGATTTTGACGGAAGGCCTGTAGTCAGCGTAGAGCTTTTGCAGCGGCGAGCAACCGAAACAGGGTTTTCAAACCCGACGAGAAAAGAAGCGGTAGCGCCAGGAACGCAGGGAGCACGAGCGGACATTCTATCGCTCCGGACGAGTGCGTTTCGGCGTCTCGCCGCAGCTGGGCGGCCGTTACATGCCTCTCCTCTCATCCGTTGTCTGCCGCTCCACCCTTTCACTTTCAACGGCCGCGTCTCGTGGCGATCTGCAAGGCTTTGTCAGTATAGAGGAGGCTACGGCTCAATCAATGAAGTCAAGCGTTGACGCAGCAAAACATTGGGCACGAGCTGTGTCCAATATTTTGCCCGCGCTCAATCAAGAAAGATGAAGTAAATAATCCAGTGCACGTGCCTTCTGTTGCTAAACACAGAACTGTGGGGTAAACAAGCAGAACGTAGCACACACCAATAGCTGAGCAGATAGATAGCGGCGGTCTTTGATGTACGATGACTGCAGCTGCTTATCTTGTATCAATGAGAAGGAGTGTGTCTTAGCAGCGCCTTTTGTGGCCTGTCCTGATTCAGTACTGCGCGCATCTCTTTACGTAGTCCTCGGAATTTGTCATTCAGTACTGTGCGCATCTCTTTACGTAGTCCTCAGAATTTGTCGTTGACACAAATGAAACTGTATAAAGCCATAGGTGTACACCAGGCGCGAGAAAAAAACAACAGATATCTGTATGATTACAGTTTTCATAAGCCGTTGAATTTACGGTAACACGTTATTTGCGAAATTAAAAAGATTAGCGTCACGATACCATCACAAACAAATTGTATTTGAACGTTGTTCAAAAGCACTATATACAAAAATAAACCGGATTTTATGGTTTTAATATTCAAACACCTCGATCGCCACTACTTTGCGCAAACACCAGAAGAGAGTTATGCGTCCAGAGAAAGAATAAGGATGCGTATATAGATAGTTGTACTACACATGTTTCATATATGCAAAATGTGTTACATACGGCCATAAGAGTGGATGGGGGAACATAGGCAAAATTGACGTGAACACCACAGCTGCCTCAGTAACTTGGTTAAGGTCAGTACGCTCTCAGGGTCGAGAGTCGACTTAAAAAATAGTTCAATTGACCGCTCCACCTGACTTGTCACACTCGAACGGTATGCTGTAGAAACGCTCGCAGGGCTGCAATTACTCAACCTTATAGAAGTACTTTTGACCATCGCATTGATTAGCGTCACTCAGCTGCCATGGATCAGCAAGAAAAAGCTACAAACTTCTGTCAAGACCCTTTCCCGCCCCCACGCACGCACACACATACACTCACACTCTTTCCCTAAATATTGAGCACTACTATTATGGCCGGGTTCCCCACCACGTTTAGCGCAAAGCGATGTTGGTGCCATTAGTCTGAACCACAATTAAGTTAAGGTTTTCGACAAAGACGCGTCTTGAACTGTGACGTCGGTGCAACCGGCTCTACGGGTCAACTAGGGCAGATTATAAAGAGCACGACGAGGTTGGCACTCTCAAGAACTAATGTTTAAGAAAGATTACGCACCATATGGTTTTACGTAGGGAACAAACCCGTAATGACGATATGGATTTGTGTCAATGTCTTCAATCTCATATGCCTGCGCTATCAGGTGGCTAGGGCCCATTGAGTGGAAGATACGCCAGAGTTCTTCCACTGGGCGTAGCAAAAGAATATCGGCGTCCAGGTAAAGCACCGCCTCTTCCTTCGGCAGCATGTCCTGTAAAAGACCAACACAGGACATAATCTACATAAGACAAACCTGCCATTAAACTTTAAACTAACTATATATCAACAGCAACACTGTAAAATATATAGGATTCAGATTCACTTTTTTTATACTGAGCATGTAGATTTTGCTCTTAATAACTTTGAACGTTCAGACATAGAAATATTCAGGCCCTTTCCTTCAAAGGAAAACGCTTTTACGCTGATTTATATCCCAAGCATAGACTGTACTGAGCTATACGAACTAGAAGAAATCAATGCGGAGCGCAAGACCGTCTGATTGCTTTGCAGGGGCTGTAGCGATGTCAAAACGCCGCGCTCTGGTTGGCTCTGACTGAAGGATAGTGCGTAGAACTGAAGGCAGCTTGCTTTGAGGTCTACCCACTATCCTTCAATCAGAGCCAATCAGAACTCGGCGGTCTGACGTCAACCCCCCCCCCCCCTCCCCCCCCCCACACACACACAAAAAGAGAAAATGCAGACGAACTTGCGCTCCACATAGACTTAAATAATTACAAGAATTAAAGCGAATGGTAGTTTTTTTTACGCAAAATAATTGTAACTAATATACAGTATTTTTTAAATACTTCAATAAAATTGAAACAGTAAGCTGTAGTAATAATACTACCAGCGGCTCAGTGATTTATTTATCTGTTCAAAAAAATCAAGAAAACACCAGATGTATATTGAATGTTATACAGATAAACGCAATCGATCTTTCGCGCCTTGTTATCTGTTGTGATACAAATATGTCGACGGCTTTAGAACTTTTTGCCTTCGACAGCTAATTCGCCTTAAAAGTGACCATCGATGTTTTCTATTGCGAACAATTTCTGTTCTGCATAAGCAACGGGCCGAACTTCGTAGATTTGACTGAAGTATACTTAAGCAGAGAGACCGGAGGTTTCTTCGCCACGTGTCGAAGATGTTTGTTAGGTGTGTTATCTTGTGTCTGAAATATCACAAGGAGCGGAAAGCTTTCTTATCTCACTTTCGTCACCTGCCTGTTGCAAACTACGCAGGCTGTTTTTCTCCAATAGTTTTCATATCTTTCAACAACAGCGACAATATACTGCAGATGAACACAATGTTCTATCCACCAGGCTGTATTTCTTAGGATGACTCATTTATCCCTAATATTATACTCAGCCACTTTAACCTTTTTCTGTCCTTCCCTCGCCCGAAGCGGAGTGCGACTTGCCCCTTATAGGAGAACCACATCTTTCCCGGCATCCCCTCCCCCCTCACCCATCTCTGTATTTCAACACCTCCACTACACTAAACCCTGTTGGTGTTTTTGTCTCCGCGACACAAATTTTCTAATCACAAGTATCTCAACGGATTTCATAATAGTGGCTCGTATTCGGTCTTTCTACAAATGCTGTTACAAGCTTACTATTATAAATTTAACCCGAGACTGGAGCAGGAGAAAAACATTTCAAGAGTGGCAGTTAAAAAAAAAAAAAAATCTGATGACACCTAAGCACTTGTTATGAGTTGTGAATGCGAAAGCATGTAATTTCGTTCTTCCGCTCCCATAGTTCGTCTGCGGCGTACTGGCGTGGACGGCCACGTTTCGCTACTGCCGAGGTAGCGGCCGACGGCGGAGCGCACGCTCTCGTGAAGTGGCCGCGCCGCGCTGAGCTCGGCCGTGCGGCCACTCCGGAGTTTGCCCGTGCGGGCTCTGCGGCCACCGCTCCTTCTTACCGGCGGCCGGGCCGCTGCGTGCGCTGCGCCGCCATTGTGAGGGCTTCTCTGGTGGCGTTCCTTAGAACTACGCGGCGCGATTTCCAATGGGAGACTAACGACAGGCTTCGCTCCATTCGGACGGGCGAAGGTGCCGTTTGCCGCAGCTTCAAAAGCTGATGACGCGGTTTCTCTCCATGGGACAGTTAATGCTTGAGCATTAAATCAAACAGGGAGAGACAACGTCTCTAACTCAGCTAGTGATTTTATTTATTCGCCCCCTTATAAATCTATGGGTGCATATAATGAGTGCATATAAATCGCTGTTACAAGCATTCCCACCGACTTCTCCCCAGTTAAAAAAATATGTGTCCATCAAGGTATGGCAGCGTGAGTTATGATTGAGATATCAATTTAAATATGCTGTCTGTTTGTAAAAATACATAAAAACATCGTATTGGTTTAAAAGTAGAAGCAAAACAAGAACTTTGGCAAGACGTATCTGGATTAAATTAAAAAAGCCGGCCATTGGGAAGTTTGATTTACCAAATCTGTTTATTCGGGATTGTTTTTATATGAACCAACTGATTTAAATTACCATTTGCTACCTCTTAGAGTCACAATTGGGAATATTTTTATCGGATTTTTATGTCAAGGAATGCAATTATTTATTTTGTCATTGTTGCACAATGACATGAACGACAAGAATAATAAAATAAGTAACAACAATTATGCTATTTTATAGATAAAAAAAATAGTTTTATTTAATCACAAACACACTATTGAGGTGCACACAATATATACATACATTACTTCATAAATAAAGTTTTATAACAATCGAATTCGGTTAGATTCACTCCTGATTTCCACGCTACATTTTATATTACCGATGTACACTAAAAGTTAAAAAAAAAATGAAAACTGGAGACATCAATCAGTTAGGGAGATATTTTTGTGCCGAAACGACACAAATATTTCATTATTTTGGTTGATGAAATAATTAATAATTTGAGAAACAATACGCTCTTTTTGCGCCTTCTTCCCTTGTACAGCACAAGAATTCTAGAAATGATTCGCTTTATGTCACAGGATATATTAAGAAAAAAATTTCATGCTAAAAATGTATTTCCAGTTTTACTTTAGACTTAAAGTTCTCTATGTCTGCATGTGCTATTAATGTGTTTAGATTCATGAAAGCTTAAATACAATTGAAGTTGTTTTGCATCCATCAAGATTTATAACAGAGAGGTTCGAGTTATGAAAGTTCTGAATATTTTAATGGAAGAATATGGCGCGCTTCTGGCAAACTGGAGTGGTGATTCAGTTAAAGTAATTTCTCATTGTAGTTCAATGCTTTCAGCAAAAAGTATTATTAGTTGTAATATTTAATTCGAAATCCTCCAGAAAAAGAACACATGTCTCAAAAGCATGTGAGAAGAATATATTCTGGGCAAATTCTGCACTTTGACAAAACTGAAAACTGTCCTCGCGTTGTATTTTTAGTTCCCGAGTTTCTAAATTCTGAACTACCAAATGGGTATTATTGGATTAAACCATCGTCACAGGCCACGTGCTTGGAAGCTTCGCTAGGCTCAAATACTTTCTTCACAACACAGAAGATCTTTACATGGCTCTGTAAACTACATACACGGTGTACATCAGCAATGGTCTTCAGGTTGATCAAGGCCAGACTTTGTTTTTTCGAGTGGACTCTCACTAGCAGTTCTGCGGAGTAAAGTTTATTAACATGAAAGTCTTCTGCGAGGCATGAGTCAGCAACTTGTGCAACAGCAAAATGTGTCAACGAAGAGATTTGACGATGTTCATGTCCAGAATGAAGCACGAAATCTTAGTAAACATGTCAGACTAAAACTCTTTATCTGTGACAATAGGTTCGGGGATCGGGCGCTTGCCCACTCGCCGCAACCCGGGTTTTGGTCTAGAAGGCGACAGCCATAAAAAGCAAAAAGACTCCGGCGCGTCTGGTGCACTGCCAACCACGGAGGTCTACACGGGGACAGCCAACATACCATAACAAAAGAGAGCTGTGCGGTATATGTTGGGTTGTCATTACTGCCCAAGCACTAAACACAACTTGGTGTAAAAACACAACTTGGTGTAAAAACAATTTGGTGGCAATAGAAAAATATTTCTATTGCCACCAAATGTTGACCGTTGACGCCAAAAGAGAAAAAGGAAAAACGAAAAAGGCAAAAATGAGAGAGGGGACAGTAGAATAATAGGCGACTGACTGGATCATCCTGGTCGGGCTTTTCCAGAAAGCCCGTCTGCGAGAAGTGAGTGCCGAAGTGGTGTGCTGCCTCACCCAAGGTAAGAGGGGGGGGGGGGTCGGGGGCGAAGGGTCTAATCTACCCTGGGTTAACCTCACACACCAGGGTGCCCTTTTCCTCGGACACGGGAAAGATACGCACATGGCTCATGGCTAAGTGGGTGAACACACATGGCTCGGGGTTCGTGGTGACGCCACTCACCAAACACCTACTAACCGAGGTGTCCCCTGTGGGGAACGTAACAAAAACTATCAACCAAACCAGTAAAACATTTCGTCAAAAGGGCCAGGTCTTGGATTTTCTTTTTTCAAAATAAAAGCAAGAAACACGTTTTATAAACAGTTGGCGATTTACTGCGATTTACAAATCGGAATAAAAAGTTCATCTGTTGCGCGAAAGGTATCTGAGAGGGGCGAAGCCCCCAAATAAACGACCTGGGACAATCGATAAAATTCGAAAATCTCTTTGATATTTGAGCGCAAAAATACTCGAGAACTAAAGCTACAACGCAAAATCAGTTTTCAGTTTTGTCCTGGTGAAGCACTTGCCCAGCATTGTATTCTCTCCAAGTTTTTGAGACCTGAACTCTTTTTTCTGCAAGCTTTGAAACAAAATCGCCCAGTTTAAATATACTTACTTTTTAGCCGAAACAATGGCTAAATTGAAATACAACTGCAAATTATTTTTCATAATATTATCACCCACCTTGAAATTACGTTTATAAATTCACGCAGCCAAAGTCAGTGCACCCACAGAAGGGCACATAAGGCATAAAGGGAAAGCCCATTCATTAATAATGAGAATTTTGGCGAAAGAACCAAAATTATGCAAGTGATTGTACATCAATTCCCTTATCATGACTCATTCAGGCCACTTCCTGAGTTTTAAAAGTGTTAGCCACTGCAGACTCTTTCAATGCCTACTAACATTAATATGCAGTTATTTCGAACTGCCATTATAAAAATATCACTAAAATTATGTTGCAAAATAATAAAACAACTCACCCATATGCTCAGAGATTAGAATCAATTTTATATCATGATTAATGTCAGTAACACAATATTACAAAATCTGATGAGTGCAAAATGCCATCCCATACAGTACCTTGACGCGAATTTCAGACCAGAAGTATGCTATCCCATCTATATCATTAGACTGGGGCTAGCTTTTGAATTAGAGTAATTACAAAGTAGTAGCGTTACTTTCTGGAAGTAATGCATAATTGTAAAACATAACTTTTGTAAGCTAACATTTTATTAATAATTTATCTATTTATGCAGCGAAGTCGCTGTACTTGTATTTATATTTTATTTTCGAAGTACCCAAGTGTGATATCTGGTAGCTGACACCATTCCGCTGTACGTATTTGTGGACTTCGTCGGCCGATATTTTTCATATAAAATTTTCAGAAAACCAATTAAGATTTTTAAATAAGATAGCAGTTATTTGTGAAACTTCGACATCTGTTCTGTACCCCGAGTGCTGTATTAGAGCAGAGTAAGCCTTCGGCGACGCAAAACTTTTTTTTTTTGAAACATTAACTGTTTTTCCGGGCACCTTATATCAAAATTAATTGAGGTTCAAAGTTACAAAGCATCAAACATCGGTACGGTATAATTGCTGCCGGAAACGACCGGTGCTATTATTGCGCGAATGGTAATGCCTTTACCACCATAGTCCCGATACTTACTGGAAGAAAGAGTCGTTGTGTGGTACAAGGTGCAAATATACTCTTCCACTTATGAAAATACTTTTTCGGGAACATTACAAGACGGAGGTCGTATTTGAGTCGCTTCAGGATGTTGTCAGGAAAATTCATTATCTGAAAAAGGCACCGTCAGAAATTTCAGAGAATATCGGTGCACAAGTCACTTACTGTCATTGCCCATAATTTTGATTTAAACAAACCTGCGTGCAGAAGTGTCAAAAAATCACGTCAAACCTTATTTGCCTCTGTTCGTGGCTTCTATTTCACTGTACGAAACCAAAGCGAACAAAACGTAGCAGTTTCGGTTTCCAAATGCCACTCACGGCATGCACAGCAAGAAACCCACCTCGTGCGAGCCGAATGGATATGATACACTTTTAAACATTTTGCACACAAAATAATGACAGCCATCTACATTGAATATTTGCCGTAGTGTTTAAAATGTGCACACACTTTGAAATGTTTGTACCAATATCTGGTTTTACACGATCTACATTTATAAAGTGCAAGTTCTTTATTGGATATAATATTTTACTTTATGACACACCATGAATGCAGCGGAAGATGTCAATCTAAAGTATTCATACCCTCCGCCAGAATTTCGCTTTAACCCCTTTGCTTTCACGCTGGGACGTTTGGAACAAACTTTCCTCAGTATTCGCGCATTCATCGAACAAGTCTGGCTAGGCTGACTTAGCGCTGCTATTTGTGTTTTTGTCTTGATTTTTTTAGTACTTAAGGCAGGTGCTGAACAAAAAGTATGAAATTTGCCAGGGTAACTTCAGGAGCAGCAGACCCGCTGACGCCCACTGAGGATCGAGCATTACTATCATGATGGATTTGGTTATGATGCTAGCATATTAGCCTAGGCAATGCCAGTAACTGGTTTGAGTAAATAACTTTAAAATAACTTGTTTCAGAACGTTGCATGTGGAACACATGGTTTCAATTTAAAGCGAGCAATATTTGGAGGTGTTAATTTAGGAAAGGTTTTAAACTACAAACTTCTATTTTTTCTGACAGATTCGAAAAGTGAGGGGTCGAAAACTCCCTCAATACCATTGTGTATAGGACAAATGCCAAGGGTAAAAAATAGAAACTCGCATTTGTACAACGTATTTCGTGGCCTTATATCTACGTCAAAACACAAAAACAAAGTTGCACTTTTCTTCAAAGTCACTCGTGCTGCAAAGAGATGGCACAGATCAGAACGAAATATTTCAGCTTGAAATTTTCTGATAACTACCGGAGTCGACTGAAAAGTACTTGGACGCCACTGTTGCCCGTTTCAAGTTTGTATACGTGCCGGTGGTAAATTTGGGCCGAGGACCCCCATTTCAGTCACCGCAGGTGTATTTGAGGCGTATTAAGTGAGCAGAAGCGAGCGATTAAAAAGAACAATGCATTTTAAGATCTTGCTAAATGTGTTTCCGGTTGTTCACATATATGTGTTCTTTGAAATGATTTTAAAGTCACGAATAAAAGAAGAAAACGACTCCTAGAAACATCTCGTAAATGTTTCTTTGAGATTCGTTAGCATGCAAGGATTCTTGTTTTGATGGCATGTCTGTGCTTATGAACGAACCTATTAAAACGTTTTTGTTAACTTTCCTTGGGAGGGGGGGGAGGGGGTTGGCCAAACTTTGTTTGTTGTTGTTCTTTTTACTCCTTGTGTGCGGTGGGGGAGGCCGCCAAGTTGGTTTTGTTTTGGTGGTGGGTTGCGGATTTGTGTTGGTGTCCCTAATTGTCTGTCTTTATTTGTGAGTTTTTCCTGGTTTCTTCACGTGTTGCTTTGTTCTGTTTATTGTTCAGTGTGAACTTTTGCTAGGTTGCTAGTACCTACCTTCTTTGCGGCTTTTGTGTTTCCCTTTCAGTGTGTACTGCTAGGCCATGGGCCTACTTAAGAATGTCATGGCTTAATAACGTTTGAGTTATATTTAGTGTTCTTTGGCATCCGTCCTATGTTATGTACCCTGCTCCTGGCTTACTTTGTCTATTAAACCAGGTCGACACTTTCTAGTTCGTTCCAATATTCCCTCCTACTGCAGGAATTGGCCCCCTTGTTGATGCTGTATTATACCGGATGAATCCAATAAACCTGAAGTTACACGCTTTCTTTGTTTTGTGCCTGTCTGCCATCCGTGTCGTAGGAGGTGAAGCCAAATATGTTTTTGTTCAGCTTGCCGTTTTGTGTATAAATTATGGGAGGAGCTTTTTCATTCAACGATAAACAGGTTGAACATATTTATTGCTCAGTGTATACTTCTGTTCGTTTAGCAGTTCCAGGTTTCTTTGATGTGTTGTGTTTACCATTCAATGTGTGCCTCGCTAGGTCGATGGCTTATTTCAGGCTGTCTTGGCTTAATAAACTTTTAACTGTGCTTGGAGGTTTGTTTTATCCGCCCACCCTTTATTCCCACAGCTCCTGTGTTACGATGACAATCTTATACCATACCAGCTCACTTTTAACACCGCTTTAGCTTTTTACAGTACTTTCTAATGCAGGCGTTGTCCCACTTTTTGTTTCTGTTTTAACCTTAATGAATTCTATCAACCGGAAGTTAATGGTTTGTTTTGCGCGAATTAGGTATCTGTGCGACAGAGTTGGAATCCAGCGGAAATTTGTTTTAGCCTTCCGTTTTGTGGACGAATTGATGGAGGAGCTTGTTTCATGTTTATATAGAGCAACATCTTCAGGGTATAGCGTTATCACAACATCTTCAGGGTGTAGCGTTATCACAACATCATCCAAATAATAACAAAAGGTATACAGAGTTGCGTAGACTTGTCTTTAAGGAGGAAAGATGCTGCTATGTAATGCAGCTATATTGGAATCGAACATCATAAATTTTCTGCTACTTCGGAGTGGTGCAAGAAAGTGAAACTCGCTGAGATTCAGAGCCTACGCAATTAACAACGACACGATTTACGACTTCAAAAACATAAAGTCGCACAAAGTCGCCTTTTTAAGTTGACTATTGTTGACGACGGGGCTAGTTGGCTTGTTCTATATTAAAAGCGAACAGGGTAAAACACACATAAAAGAGAATCGAAGACACTGCAGCGCAGTATAAGTGGACAATTTAGTAAACGTTCAATGTTTTAGAAAACGCGCCACAAAAAGAGTTTATTATAAAAGTTTCGAATCCAACTTTTCCGAACAAATTTGATGTTGAGGACTATTTTAGACATTTAGTTTTATAACGCGATTGTCTATGAAAATTGCGCCTCATCAAAAAACAAAAAAAAAGTACCAATTAGTGGGGGTTTTACAATCGCGTCATGAATCGAGACATGATTTACATGCGTATTGCTCTACAAACAAATTTAATTTTTAAGTGCCAATGATCTACTCTCACGACGGATTTTCTCCCCGAGGAGAGGATTAAACGTCATGAAGTTTTGAGGTCACGTGCTACGCGTCACAAATGTTTGCTTATCCTCCGATCTCGCGGCGAGCCGAGGAGAATCTGTGACCGGCCTACAGAATATCCGCAGTTCTGTCGGAGCGACCGGGCCCCCTCCTTTGTCCCCCTGCTTTTGAAGGAGGATAATGATGAACAGCTTTGAAGGGGGCGGGGGGGGGGGGGGGCGAATTTACTTTATTCTTTTTTTTCTGCCTTTTCTACGATGAGCTCCCGAAAATTGACAGCAGGTTTGTGAAACGAAAGACTGCGGTGACTCAACTACATGCGACTCCGTCGTTCGAATGCTCGCTTGAATTTTCTGCACTGCCTCCTCCTTCTCGGTGCTCTATGACGCACTCGGTTTCCTCCGGAGATAAAGCTGTCTCGTGCCGAATATACCATAACTCCCCAACATAACTCACGGCAACATTTTTGCATGTATTGGTGCTCTATCTTAAATCTACATCTAGCATAGACAAGAAAATCATGACATCGACATAAATATGGAACACTTCGGCTTATACTGATTAGTTTGCTCTCTTTTTAGTTTACTTTACTGCAAAATGTATGACGCAGTAAACTGTAAAATGTTCAGTGATAAGGGACGATTTTTGAGATATCGAAACGCTACAAGTGAAATGTTGTGACTTTTGCTTTTCATCGCTGGACGCGATATTGCATTAATGGTCAAAGGTAATTTTGAAAAGGACAGTGTTGAAACAAAAACCAAAACAAAATTATGTCACAGAGAAATAAAATTTAACTTCTGAACCAGGTGCGTTACTTTTTACACGCGCCATATAAAATAATTCTACAGATGAATAATTTATAACGCACTTCCTTAAAAGCATTTTACACGTCAAAACAGGTTGTGGCTACTTGGCCTTTGTTCAAAACAGAGAGTTTACAATACGTCACAATACGTTTCCTCGACAGACTAATCACTGAAGAAATCACGAGGCATAAATGCAATATGCTTAACCAAAGTTGAAACAAAGACGTTCAACAGTCCTTGATCTACAGCGAAGTGCGGAAGCCGGGTGAATTTTTTAAAGGGGCCGCATAAATCAACTTGGTAACATATTGCACTACGATTTACAACAGAGGTGTTAAAGGGTGGAGGAAGCATCCATATCGAAATTTCAAAAACAAACTTACAGTAAGCGAAAGGTAAAAAAAAAAAAAAAACGATTATTGGTTTTTGTTGAGCACGGCTCCCGTCTGCTAAATCCGCTCCTCCTGACTGGCGCATCAACCGACAGGTGGCGGCAGCTGAACGGGTGGCTGCTGAGTGGCCGCCAGCAGCCGCAGAGCCTCTGAGCCGCGGTGCCGTTGCTGCCATCTGTCGGTTGCTGGGCCAGTCAAGGAGTGGCCGGTAAGCAGACGAACGCCGTAGGTAGAAGAAAAAAAAAACAAAAAAAACACCGTTTTTGTACACTTTGTTTGGGTAAGTTCGTTCTTTAAAAATTTAATACAATGCTTCCACCACCTTTGCGCACCTCTGCAGTATATCGTATGGAGATGTGTTAGCAAGCCGATTTATGCAGCTACTGTAAAGGCCTCTCCCGACTTCGGTACCTTCCTGTCGTAGGGACCAGAAAACCGTCCATGGGAAAGATATGACAAACTAAATTAGAAAGCGGCATCCCTGCTATTTAAAAGATGAAGGTCACCGTTGCCTTTCAGAGCGACAATTGGAGGAAGGGCACCCGAACTAAGAGAAAGGCTAAAAATGCGCTCAGAATACCAATAAAAATTGACATATTTTCAAAATAACGCGTGCTATGCTCTAGATACCATCAAACGCTTTAGTGTAAGAATTATTATCGACTTCACGAATTTGGTAATACCAAATCGCGCTGACAACGAACATCAGGACTGTTCATCTCTAGGCCAAATATTTCAGTTGGTAGGCTAGGAAAACCCAAGACAGAACATACATATAAGATCTTAAAAACCTTATCAATCGACACAAAGAAAACCGACCACTGGCATCTGTAGATGTATAATTCAACAAGGTGTCGAGACGGGCAACCTCGTATTATTCCCTCCGCAGTGCATTACAGCGAAGAAGCCTCACACTTCGCCCTACAGCTCGGTTCACGTTACGATGGATCGCAGAGGGCGCTGCGAGTCATCAGAGGCAACCCAATGCCATGTGAGCGTCAAGCGACCTTCGGAAGGCGCGCAACAACATACGGGACGCGTGGTCACGTGATGCCTTTAGAGCGCCTGATTGACTGGATTGTATCGTAGCGTCCGCTCAGGTCCATCACAAGGTAAAGCAGAGCATAGATGTGGCTTTGCTCGGCTAACCCGAACAAGGAAACTTCCAATAATCAAGTATCGATGGAGTTGTGATAAGTTACATCAAAAGTTGAAGAATAGATTGTCATATTCAATATACCTTTTTCTTACCACGCGTGCTTCATCGATACAATTGGGTACTTCTTGGTTCATAACGGATGAGGACGGCTTGCTTGCGATAAAAATAGTATACTTTCCTTGCTCTTTCACACCTTTTGGATTCATGATCACGACACGCTGTTAATTATTGAAAGGGGCGCTATAGTGGATTTCGAGATCGTCTTTATCGTATACGATCTCCATCTATTCACCATAAGTATCCTCGAAAAGCCAGAATAACAATCTCGCGTGTCTTTTTCTGCTCTTAAAAATTCGACGAAACATCGTGATACGCCCATTTTTTTAGATCGCAGAAAACGAGCATGTTGCTGTGTTTGGTCGCACTTTGATTAAAAAAAAAAAGGCCACGCATTGTTCTAATTTTGTGTTTTCGAGGATGCTTACGGTGGATAGACTTAGTTTTCGCAATAAAAAGAGTATCTCGAAATACCTAGATGCCCTTTATGACAGAGTTGAGAATAGGTCTTATTATATATCCGTATTTCAATTGAAAATCACGGGGTTTGCTGTGTATCTGGGTTGGATTATGTCGATCCAGCTGGGAGGAAAGTCAGGACTAAGGTATTTTCAGATTGCTTTTCAGATGTTTCCTTTTTCGTAATAGTCAGGAGCCGAACGACGCAAGACAACAAGTCAGGCATCCACTCTTGAAGCTTACCCTCACTTGGAGATCGTTGATGTTCCTGGCATCCGCATAAATGATCAACCGGAAGGACGCTCTCGAAAATGCCAGGATGGACTTGAGGTTGGTTAGAGTAAGCTCCAGGCCACTCTCGCAGGTCACCATCACAATGGTCATATTGTCGCTGCAGAGAAATCAAATGTTTGCTGCACGACTGACCCGTCGGGTAATGACGACTAGATTAAAGAATCCTTTTATAAGTAAATTGTTGCTGTCATCTGACCATTTCATAGACGAACTATAATGGCAGCTCAAACGATCCCGTTGCACTGTAAGATGTCATACCCAGTGCCTTTTATTTTGTTTGCGAGAGGGGAGGGAGAGGGGCTCTCTCTTCAAGGACGAACTATTGACCTTGTACAAAATGTGAAGGTTCTTTGCGTGCTATTTAAAGGGATACTACAACGAAATTTCGGTGCTCCTTTTTTGGTCTATATGTGTTCAAAAAAGCAGCATCACCTCGAACATACCAATATCTTGTTCAAAAAGTCAAGAAAAGGGATTTTAAAACGAATTAAATGATTAGCAAAGAGCACCTGGTGGATGTCGTTAACGCCTCGCTTGTACTGCTCGTCTAGGAACCTTGACAGCTAGTGACGGAGGTTGTCTCGTCTCCGGCCACGACGAGAGAAGAGGGGCGGGAGAAACTCCCCTCTTCCCGAGAATGCCTTTTGTGTGTCGCAGAAGTCGCTATTGTACCCCTACAAGATTACAGAAGATCAACCCGCCACTCAAAATTCGTACAAAAGCAGCCGCTTCGGTGGCTGGAACGAGTAGAACATCCTCTCGACGTTAGCCTCGCCGTAGCTTTGCTCGTCCTGAGACGACCTACGTCAGGATTGCGTTGGATGTCACGTAGTCTCCGCTGGGCCTTCTCCGAGCGCTTGCCAGAGTGGGCCGTTTATAACGAAAAATACAGCCACCAGGCTCAAAATACAAACGTGCGATTGTCATTTACGGATATTGTGGATCATATTCAAACTATTTTTGAACACGCGTGAATATTTCAAATTGCGTTGAAGTATCCCTTTAATGAGTACATGAGCTGGGACGCGGAAGTACAATGTATAGCTGAAAGACTTTCAAAAGTTGTGGTCATTACTTATAAATCCCGTCATATATTGCCCCTTTCGGTCTTAATCCTTCTCTATAACCCCCTCTTTTACTCTTGCAATAATTACTGCGTCCTTTGGCGTATCACAACGGTTAAAAATATGCACCACTTGCATTTTCTCCGGAAGCAAATAATCTTAAGTGTGTGCAAAGCGGAGTTCAACGCTCACAGATTACAACTTTTCCCCCCAAAACCTTCATATAGATCTATATACAGAGCGTTACAATCATAAACTTCTTCAACATATCAAACGTCTGTAAGGCAAAATCAACTTGTTTTTCTATCAGTCGCCAATATGAAGCGGAGGGTGCCTGCATACGTTGGCCGTTATGTTGACACGTGGCCAACACCTCGCTCAAGAACGGGCTACGGCCTCCAGAGGCTGCAGTACTCGTTGCCTATATAATAAATAATAGACACAGATTCGACACGAATTTTGCGAGTTTGAGCAGAAAGGATATTTGTTCATTGTTTCTCTAGAGTTATTTGTGCCTATTCTTGATGGGACATCTGACCTGCAAGAAACGTTTCGTGATGTATGTCGGATTCTTTTCCTTTTAATGCTGTGTGTTTTGCTCCTATGTAAACCTTGTTTTACGGGTCACTAGTAAGTAAAATGGTTTCTCTTGTTGCTGGTGGGGAAGAGAAGCTCTGTCAAGCGACAACAGTCTGCTCTTTTTCCTCCCTCCCCTTTCCCCTGGAGAGAAACCATGAAGTTGAAAGTTGAAAGTTGTTTTCAGAGAACAAACAGTTACAGTTTGCCGTTTATTATAGCAAAGACAGTTTCTAGCGATTTTTAAAATTTTTGTTTCTTTCCAAACATTTTTTGTGGTAAAGTTGTTACGTTGAAGCATAATAAGGTTGCGCTGTTGGATATGTCAGGTGGTTCTGGGCAGTTCTTGATAGTAGAATCGGCTGTTATATATCTATAAACAAGCTAGTTTTTTTTAATTGCTCAACCAATGTTTCCTTTTCGAATCAAGTTAAAACACATAATATAGTGTTATCACTGCGTAGAACCGGCTAAGTAGTTAATGCAAAGTATATTCATAATTGCAGGGCACAAGATTGCATTTTTGAACTGCCTCTCGAAGGCTGGAGTCACTCTAACACATAGCCAGTATAGACCTTTGCAAAAAACTGCCTTCTGTGCGCTGCCATCTTAGTCTGCTGAGCTGTGGAACGGCTTCTGAGCATGCGCTGTTGATATCCGGTGCGGTAGATCGGACGCTGCGCATGCGTCAACAGCTCAGTGACGCATCATTTTTCGCCCGGGTGATAAGCGATGCAAAGGTCTACAAGCAGGTCAAAAATAAAACAAACAAAAAATATGTACGGCAGCAGTACATGTCGAACACGACATCTGAAAGACAGGTTTTTTTTTTGAAAATGTGCTCTGCCATAGTGATCTCTTTTGCAAGTAAGGAAACAGTTAATAAACTAACTGGGGAACATATCTGAGATAGAGTATGAGTTTAGTGCGACGGTTGCTAATATATCTTACTGAAAATATTAACACAAGAGCGGAAAAGACGACACGTTCATTTCTCTATTTTGTCTTGAAACTTAAAAAAAATTCTAATCTCGAACATGTCTACATACCTTAGTTTTCTTAACAGAATCGCCCTCATAATGCGAATAAAAATTTGATTTATTTGAGTTACAAATAAAAGTATAATTAACCTTTATTTATTAGGATAACCACAAACGCCAAGGTTAACTATGCCGATAAAATGTAACTAAGACAAATTCAAGACACGAACCAACGTGAAAATATGTTATTTGTGCTTCGAGCACCCAAAAGTGATCATATATTTCAAGGATTTATAAATAATTTTTATGTAACTTATGTCAAGTCTAAAGCAAGGCAAGCGGGGACTCGAAAAACAACCTGTTCTTCCGGACTACACACAAATTCCAATTTTGATCGCGGGGTGTATTTCAGACGGAAAGCATGGCCTGCATTCCGGGACACGGCGGCCTAGTTCCAGGTTTCCTCGCCACGTGGCGTATCGACGTTTAAGAAGCTGAGGCCTTTAAAGTGGGATAGGAAATAGCGGAATTGCCTCTATCTTAACCTCAACTCTTAGGCATCTTTCAGGCCTCCCATCTTTTCGCCGCCTGAATCCGGAAGCAGCCGTTTCCGAGGAAGTGCTGCATCATGCGACAAAGGTAGACAACCGGGAAGCGTGTGTGTGTGTGTGTGTGGTGGGGGGGGGGGGGGACTGAATTAGTGTATACTAGGGTTGTCTTTGAGGCTTTTTCTTCTGGTGCTTAGATCAAGCAACATTTACAATTCTCAAGATGTGAATTTCCTACCTTATTTACACTTCGAGGTGTAGTTCACTTGCGTTGGACATATCTGATGTATAAGTATATTTTACACTGACTAATTTACCTCGCTGTATTTTTTTTTTCTACGTGTTTTAATTGCGTGAACTGTGTATGCGCGAGTAATCGCATTTGATGTTTGGTTACGAATTTTCACTTCGCAAAAATTGTGTATAAGGCTTGTAGTGTTAATACACGAATAAGTAAATACATATATAAGAATATCGAGACAGCTAGGGTATTTCGAGCTGCCTCCACGTATTATGTAAGCACGACTCTCAGGACTTCTAAAAAAAACGCACTTTTTAAAGTGATTTTACAGGCGTATAAGACTAAAAATAACAGTGCACAGAAAACAAGCGAAACAAAATTATTACATTGTTATCCACCTAGTTTGTACACTAAAGTGATTTCCGTGTGACGACAAATTTCTGTAAACTATTCTTGGGTAGCTGAGCACCATCCGACACAACACCATAACTACGAAGGAAAAACAAGAACGGCAGTTGTGCTTTTTGATGTTTGATATCAAGCTCATGTCTATTCGCGTCCGAATATTTCACCAAATAAACTTTTCTTCGTCCGTATATTTTTTGTCGGCGCCGTTACGGAATACATATGTAGTTGGGAGCAGTGGTTGTGGTTTTGCGTCGCAAGTAACTGCGTTACCGGTAACACGTTACTTTTTCCGGTAACGTTGTAACGTACTCGTTAGTTTTTCTAAACTGTAACGGGTAACGTACCTGCATTACCTATATTGAGTAACGTGTAACGTAGTTACGTTACTCGTTACATAATCTGCCCAAAACGAATTTATTTCGTGTTTATAGGCCCAAGACTTATAAAGTTTTGAGTTTTTTTTTTAACGTTTTCTGTTTGCTCTATTCTCGTGAGTATTTAGTTCGAACCGTAAAAAAAGATAAGGTATGTTCAGGTTCTGGATGGGCACAATGTTTCTCTAATTAGGGCGCTTATGCATACCTTTAACGTCCAAAGAGTAAAGCGTGATAATTCAGAATTGAAAAAAAGGAACGCAAAAGGAACGTGCGTTATTTTTTATCTGTGACGGTAACGCGTTCTTTTTATTTTGAGGTTATTGTGTTGGTGGTCGTTAATGAAACAGAGTATTACCGGTAGCCTTCTATCTTTAACGCCATCTTTTTATTCTATCTCGTCCTCGTCGTCTTCCACCTAAGCCCATAACGGCACATCTTCCCTTTTTAAAACTGAAGTCTATTTACAGGTTTCACAACTCGCCCACTTCTTGTTGTGTAAGTATCCTGGCCAATGTCCGGCACAGGACTCTCTTTGGTGAAATCGGCCCCAGGCATTGGTTCTAGGTGGAATCTATTTCGGCGAAGGGCTTCTCTGTCGGTGCCCACGAAGTATGATCTCGGAGACTCCGCTGTAGATTACACTACGCCTTGTTTTTGCTGATCGGTGATCCAGACGATATCACCTCTTCTCAGTGGTTCCCGTTTTTGTGCACCACGTCGTCTGTCATAGTTAGACGTTTGCTGAGTTCTTCTTCTTTCGCACTTTTTGAGTTCTTGGGTGTTCACAAGTTTCGGTTCCAAAGTGGAAGGAAATAACGGTAGGTAGGGATCACCGATCCCTACCTACCGATCACAGGTCAGCAAAAACAAGGCTTAGTGCAATTTCTGACCGATGTT